AGTAACTGTCTTCACCGTCCTAACTAACCTGACTACAGAGTACAGGGTATAGCCCTTGGGGAGAAGTAGCTTTGGCGAATAGAGCGAGCAATCCAAACTTCTGTTATTAGGCTAATTGACATATTGAGGCTACTCGCACTTCCTCCTCGTCCACTACCACGGCAGATTGATTGCCGAAGTCAACATCGAACATGTTCCAAATGCCGTATGCATTCGGTCTTCCCTCCAACTGAGGATTCTCCGTAGCAGCAGACCGCTAGCCAAGAATCAAAGATCCCCAAATGCCTTTCCCCCTATGATTTGGAGCAAGTCGGCACTGTTGTCTTCAATGGAGCCTCGTCGATCGCGCCGTCATTGTCAATGGAAGTTTTGGGCGACACCTTGACCTGGTCCAAGAGAGTAAGAGAGAATCCAACCGTGCGGTCAGACTTGGGCACGGATGCTGCGGACATTCACTAGATCATGACCTCCGTGGATGATGTCGGGTATTGGTTTGCGCTATCTGAGACGTTGGCCTAGACGCCCATCGAGCGAAAAGATGAAACCCTAGGAGGAGCGGCACACCGATGTCAATGCAAAGCGCTCACTGCTTCCAAATCTGAGGCAGTAACTTAGCTCGGTCATGGCTTGCAGAGACTCTGTGTGTTGTTCTCTCTTTGATCTCTGAATCATCTGGGTCCCTGTCGCGGTGTCACCATCTGTCAGGACTGGCGACGCAGCGAGGCTGTCTCAAGTCCCACGCACATGACTGTCGCGGGATAGATTGCGTATTTGAGCAGTGGCTTCAGAGTTCAAGCCGTTACGAATCGTCCAGAGGACATGAGAATTGCAGAAGGGAAGCACAGATCGTAGACGGAGTTTGTTATAGCGTATGATGGAGTGGTTCAGTTGTCTTCTGCTTCCAGCGTATGCTGCACTGGGGAGAATCTCCCGTCGCTTTAGCGAAGCCTCGCGGGCCTGACTGACTCTTGAGATGGAGATAACGCCTCACGTATTGTGGCTTCCAATTCCATCCCTTCTTCAAGTCGACTTGAAATAGAAAAACGTCCCTTGTGGAATCGTCTCTGTGCGTCCACGAGGACCCCAAGAGCCCCCGATAGCCGCCCGCTCAGTGTTGACCGTTCCGCGATATTCCAAGGCATGGCTGGCTGCACCTTCTTTCAACCACTGCCAAAAAACGAAGCTGCCTGATGTTTGCGCTTCTCCCTGGACGAACCATTCTCCTTGCTCATCCTTGAGCTCGCCCCTGAGCAAAACAGTGTCCGGTCTCTCCTCGCTGTCCAGGAGATCAACGAATCTCAGGTCGCGCCCTATCCTTGGGTCTTTCCTTGGACCTCCGCCGTGGTACAGATAAAACCCGGTCCAGTCTCCTTGCCAGAATTGCCTCAGTTCTTGCCGCAGCCGAAATGTCTCGCCGATAGGCTTTGTAAAACATATTGCATAGTGTTCCTCGAGAAGGGTCGCCGGTTTAACAAGTTCATGTTGCTTTGCAATGTCAATCGCCTTCCTGTAGTGATCTCCATTCTGCAAGTTCTTCGCACCGAGGCCCGTCAGAATCTCGAGCCACGTGCAGTGTCCCTCTTCCATCGCGGTGGAAAGAGCGCTGCCGGGTCGACCGGTTTTCCGATCTAGGTTGCACCATGGTTCCAGTCCTAGGCCGTGGTTCGCATTGGTCAAGATTTTGAGGATTTCTCCATCAGCATCTGGCTTGCCTTGTGCCGTCCACGCGATAGCCCGGATAAGGTGAAGGCTATACAGTCGCATCACATCTATCGCGCGCGGATCAGGGGGAGCTCCAGGCTGCGGCTCGCGCAACTGTGGAAGCTGGTCTCTGCTCAAAATCCAGAACTGCTTTTCGATCTCCGAAATATACTCGCTGCATTTTTCGGCTGCAGTGGCATAAAGCTCTTGTTCCATCAGAATATCAATGGTGTTCATTCGAACCCTCGTGAGCATAGGATCAATCAGGGTAAACCCATTCTTCAAGAGGATGTCCATGCAACGGGTGTTGACTTCGTTTGCCTCCTGAAACTTCCCCGCCATCATGAGGGTGGTGAACAGCTGGTCCAGGGGATTTAGCATTGGCATGGTATCTGCGCCGATGGCCTTCCCGAGGCCTTTGATTGCGTCCCTAAGAAGGGCTTCGGCCTCTTCAAAATTTCCCTGCCTCATGAGAAGAGCAGCTTCCACGTCCAGCTGCATGTAAGCGTTGCCATGCTCTTCTCCAAATATTTTAACCACAGCCTCTCGCGACTGCCTACTAAGCTTGATCGCTTCTTCCGTGTGACCCCGGACGTCTGCATTTTGTGCCAGGAGTCGACTTAACATGACGGTGACGACGTGGTCTCTTCCTTGTTCGGTTTTCATCATCTCGGCGTGAGTCTCTCGGGCTAAGTCATGAGCTGAGTCGAGGGAGTCGAACTCTTGGATACCCATGTGCGCCATGGCCAGGTATGCTTTCGTGAGGAGAAATTCAAGACTCTGAGGTCCGTAATTCGGGTCGGTTTCAAGGTCTTTGGCCATCTGCGACCAGAATTGGACTCCCTCGTGAGATGGATCTTTCGTGTTGGGTTCACGCTGTTCTCCCGTGCCATCCCCGTGTTTCCCTTCCCACAACCCTTCCATCCCAGCTAAAGTGGGCAAGACGCCTCCATAACAAAACTTTAAACTCAAGACAGCGGCATGCGTTTTCCCCATGGCTTTCTCCATGTCCGCCACTTCTTCTCGAAGCAAGATTTTGATGAGCTTCTGATTTTGCAACATCGCTTCTCCATAGTCCTCGGCGCCATGAATTGGTTGGATGATGCCAGTGGAATACATTCTTCGGAGATCCTCGTTGAAAGGCTCTTCCTGTAGCCTCGAAGCTTCTATTTCATCGTGGATTTGCGAAGCTTGAACGCCAGTTGTCGACGGCCAGCCCTTGAATTTGGTCTCATGTGGGAACCTTTGCGTGCCGAACCCAATCACGCTACAGAATGTGAGCTGGAAATCAAGCTTCGATTTCTCTTCTGCCGTTTCGCTCGTGTTAAATTCTTCACTGAGACATTGAAGGATATGTCTTCGGAGCCGGTAGTCACCCAGGCAGAGCGTTTGTAGAGATTCAGATACCTCGTATCAATCAATATCAGATTAGAAAACATGAACTTCAGGAGCAGTGTTGCTCACCTTGAAGTCGCTGGGCTTCGGGCTTGACATGACAGCCTTCTTGACCTTTGTGGTCGGTGCAGTAGGTTGATTGTGTGATTGCCCCTCGGAAAATATAGCAGAGATCTCCTCGAAGTCTCCCCTCTGATCTGGGTCAAATACCAGAGTCTGTTCAAATAGTCTCTGGAGAGCTGGCCTGAACTCCCCGACGGCGGCATCGGCAAATTGGAGGGCGTACTTGAGCGTCTTGTTGTTCTCGGCTGTCTCGCGGTTCAGGTTTCGCAGCGATTCGAGATCAATTGACGCCGCTTCTCCGGTCACGAGCTTCCGAATTATGTTATGCATGTTCCGCCAGGTTCTGGAGAAAATGCCACCTCCCTCCATGGGGCTGCCTTTCTCTTCAAGCTGTTCCCAGAACAAGACCCACAAGCAGAGCATGCCGAAGCAGTAGACGTCCACCTTCTTAGCGGACGACAAGTTGTATGAAGTCTTCTTCCTCCCCTCCAATTCTGGCGCGTTCCACGGCAATGAGATCGGAAGAACAATGGCATCCGTGGAAGCAGTGGTCGAAAATCCGAAGTCAGCCAGCTTTGTCGTCGTGGCATGGATATCTTTACCGAAGACAAGTGCGTTGGCAGGTTTTACGTCGCCGTGGATGATGTCTGCAACTCGTCAGGAAAACCGAGAAAAGACGGGCAACACGGAGGCTTTGAAGGTGCTCACCAATCTCATGCATTGCCTTGAGAGCGGACGCGATCTCTCCGCAAATCTTCACTCTTTCAGCGAAGGACAACTCCACACCGTGTTGTCGAATGAAGGACTCCAGACTCCCCTGATGAGCCTTCTCAAATATTAGGACCGGCCAGATCTGGATCTGATCGTCGAGCTGACTCTTGCGAGGTTTGTTTGCCATAGGAATAATCTCCCAGCAGATTCCCATCAGTTGTACGATATTTGGATGTCCCTTCACGCCTGGCTGGCCCAGGACCCAGATCTCGCTCGTCAGTTCCCGAAACGCGGACTCAATGTCGTCTTCAGGGATCTCCTTCCGCGCTATGCCATCTGGAGATCGTCGCTTGAACGCAAGAACCGTTTCGACACTCGCTCGTGTCTCGGAGACAAGTGCCTGTGCACCATGCCCCAAGTCTGGTTGGGCTTCAACCCATGCTATCCCGGTGAAGTCGATCTTGCATGCTTGTGCACTGGCTAAGCAAGAGAGAAAGTTATACCTTTGCTCATTCCCTGTTTTCTTCGATGATGCTCTTTGTGTCTGCTCCCGCTGCGGCGGCCTTGCGGGTACAGGCCTTGCAACATTTGAGAAGTCGAAATTGTGTCGTCGTTGGGCGTGAGAGATGAAAGACATGGTTCTGATCTAGACCCAAGGCTTTCAACTGCGAACCTGTTTCCAAAATCTTTTCAGAATACTCCTGAAGTCGGCCGGTCGGTCTGTCTTGAGGGGCGAGGAAGCCGCAGACGTACTTTTAGCCGTCGGGCTGAAGGCAACGGGGGACAAGGACGTGGCTGCTTTAGGCAGCAATCGAGGGTGACTGAGCGGTGCTGACGTGACAGGGGTCGAGTGGTCAGAGGCACCTGCATTCACAGCGCCCTGTCGACCTGGCAATCCAAGGCAGTTAGCAAGGGCGCTATGCTGCTATCGAATCCTCTTACAGCTTGCAGAAGAAGGGAATCGCCTGGGACTGCAGCTTTGTGATCTAGACGCCTAATCTTTCCTTTTCATGTCTCATGTTGTTCGCTTTGCGTTCATTCTATTCGCACTCATGCTGCTAATTGTGCTCGCCCGGGTTACAGGGACGGCCGAGTTCACCTCCACAGAGGACAGGTCTTGCAAACTGCATCTATTGTGTATGTGCGGCTCCTCGTTCCTCGGCCTCTCTCTTCTCTCTCTTGTATGAGCCGGTCCAGTATTTCTGCAGGGCTGCCACGAAAGCAAACGTTCCTGCCATCATCGGCATCAAAATGACCACAAATTTCCAAAAGTCCTGGACGGCGACGAGATGATTATTTGCGTCAATTTGGACAAGATTGGAGCAGAAGAGGCCCTAAGTTTAAGAGGTGTCAGCCATTTCGATGTTGAAAAGCCATCTCTCAGAACGCACCGACAACAAGCTTGCTGGTAAATAGATCGTGGCCACCACTGTCAGGGCTTTAGTCGTGATGGACGTCTTCTGGTTCAATTCATTGTCCCATTCTCCCTGCACAGCGATTTCCTTCATCTTCTGCAAGGCTGAGTCACTCGTCTTGCTGGTTTCAAGGGTTGAAGAGCCGACACGGTATTCCAGGATGTTGGTCAACTGGAAATTCATTAGGACCTCCATATTGGAAAAATGGACAAGTGTTTCAAACCAAGTTGTTGGTGTCCCATGATCTTTGTAGGAGGTCGTCCACACAACGTCGGTAATACGTAGCCTCTGCAATGTAGTCATCGAGCTCAGTGATCAGGACATTGAGTAAGTCGGCAGTGAACAAATTGCTCTTCTCAAACCGGGCTTTGATCATGCATCCTATGTCGGTTGAAGCCTGGAGGATACTGGCCGCTTTCAACAACTTGCGACGTAGCAGCTGAACTGTCTGTCTGTCGGTGAATCGAACAGAGTAGTCGTCCGCGGCACGATGCTCCACATGGACGAACGCAACCTTTTCCTCCTGTTCCCCATCTCCACGATTAGCATTACAGGAGAAATATTCCAGTCTTCTGATAGGGCTATGTTCGAACGGCGTACTCTCTCGTCTCGCTTTGACCGGGCCAGAGGCTAAAGTCCGAGGAATGAAGGGGTGTGAAGGAATCATGGAAGAGCGACCTCACCGTTTCTCGTAAAATGGTAGTTTGAGCGTCAATGTACTCCCCCCAGTTGGCCATTGACGAAAATAGAAGTGATACGTGCGCCAATGCGAGACGCGCCGAACGGTGAATCTCGCTGTGTAGTATCAGATCCAGCCTTTCCCGAAACCTACTTTCGAGATACCGAGAAGGTTGGAGGAAGATCCACACCGAATGTTTTGCTTGGGAACAAAACTGATGATAAATACCAGTCTGTCGAAGGGACCAAGGGTCTCCTTGACTGCCCTCCTTCCTCTCGAAGAATCGGAGGGTGTAGGACATTTCAATAACTAGGGAGAGTCAGTGCTTCGGTCAAGAGTTGGAGCATATTGGCGCAAACTCGACTGCTGGTGTTGCTTTCGGATCCGCCAGTGGAAGTTCCCCGATGTGTTGGCGTCCTCTCTTACACGGTTCCCGAAGCAGTGAACGGTTTCCATAAAGTATGGAAAGACCTGGTGGTGTGAGCAAATGGCCCGGAAGGTCCCAAGCTTGACCCGAAGGCGATCCCAAGTGTTTGTTTGCCGCATTATGCTGCAGAATATCAGATTCCGTTGAGTTTGCAGCAGAGATTCAGGTGGATGGACCATCTAACATACTAGATGATGTTGTCATCGGCTGGATTCTTCGAAAATGAAATCCATCAGTGGTTCGGACTAAACCAGCTCCTTGGGTACGCAGAACCAACCTCCCAGAGTTGTTCAAGCGAGCCCAGGCCGATTTTGGGACTGAGAGCGATCCTCTTCCGGTGTACCTGTGCATCAAACACGACTCTCCAGACATCCACCTCATCCGCTTCTGCAGAGAACAGCCTTCGTGCATCAGCAGCAAGCTTGCGCCTTACTCGATCAAAATCACACGTCCATTGGTTTTCCTCGGCGACCAGATCCGTGCGAGCCGTGGGCCAGTCCATGGTTGTCGAAGTAGTTTGCGAAGTCAGGCTGCACTACTGCGCTGTTCTCTTCTTTGTATCCCTGATAGGCTGGAGTATCTGTCAACGTCAACTGGGGAAAAAGATTGGAAGGGCAGATTCCCGGGTTGGGGGAGTAATTACAGGTTGGATCAGGTACACATTCGATAGCAGAAGAATACGGAGCATGCGCCCCTGATGTTGATAAATGCAGGCATTTCTATTACCTCATTTTCCACCATTTGCCAACTGTTGCGGCTCAATTAGTTGTCGCAGGTGAGTCGGGCGCTTCTGGGCCATGTGTTCAACTAGCATTCGGCCACGGACCTGCGATTCTCGTTCAGCAAAACAAATCAGAGCCCGACATGTGCGATTTGGCTCAAACTCGCAGTTGTGGCGCAAGGCTAGTGTACTTACTAAGGCTCCATCCATGAGCTGGTTGGAGAAATATTCCTGATTGTCACACCGGTTGAAGGATGGTCGTGGCTGCGTGGAGCCTGCGCGAGGGATTCCTTTTGCCCTTCACGCCCGAGACCAAGACTTGAATTGGCTCGGCACCTTCTGATGCGGGCTTCAGCATCTATCTCCCTTCTCGTCCGACGCCGCTTGGAATCTCTTACTATCCTTGATCAGCCCAAATCGCCCCCATGGAGAAGCAAGCTATCCCAACCAGATATGTGAAGAAGCGGCTGTTGCTTGATGCTCTTTGGAAAATACATGGAAATAGTTTCACAATCGAAGTGAGTATGGCCGCTGGTCGGTTTCTTTTGACCGAACTGTCTTGGTGTATCAATGGATTTTTGCCCTGACCCAGACTCATGATTTCATCGTCGGTGAAACAGCAGAGGGAGGAGTACTTTATCGTCACTGCGCCGCGCAAATTAACGGACGTGAGTGTCCCATGCGGATCAAGGCGTTCTGTCGGCCTTGTCCCTCGAGGATAGTACATTGATGCTGCTCCAGGAAGAGCTTGAAATGATCCAGGAGGCATCCAAATGAGCAATAATCTCACTTACGCTGGGAGATCGTCTTCCTCTTGCGCCAATTGCATCAAGTTTTGAACCTGATTGCTCGTTTGAGCCGTTGGCCTCAGCCGTTCACACCCTCTCCCCTTTCCTCTGCCTTTGCCTTTGAAGCTTCGTACAAGAATCCGATCATGCCCCTCAACCCCGTCAACACTCTTCAGAGAGAGCTTGGCAAACGTGAGAGATTGAATTACGAAACTCGAAAATTCGTTCCGTACCAATGGCTCTCCGACTTGATCGACGACAAGACCATCAGCACGGTTGTGCACCACAGCGATGTTCCGCCCGAGACCAAGGACGACATCATCACAACAACTCGTGCGGGAGCCAAGAGGATATTCGCTACCCTCGTCAGCATCGACAAGCTCGCCCTCTTCAACCACTTCATTCAATATGACGAGTTCCAGAACGAAAACATGGACCAGAAACTCCCCATGACCCTAGAGCAACTGGAAAAGATCTTTGGCAAACCGGACCTCCAAGCCGACAGCACGAGATTGGAACATCAAGTCGACGATCTCGAGCAGAAGATCTTTGAGATTGAAAAGTGGGCATCCGCATTCGAAGAGAACCAATACAAATTCATCGTCCCTTCCTTCCCACAGACTGCCGCGCATCGTTCTGTCTCTGATAACATACGCCTCCCGTTTACGAAAAATAAGGCACTGGGCCATGGGTACTTTGGCGAAGCCTTCCTCATCCACGTCCCGCCTCTGAAATGGACTCCGGAGTCCCAGTTCTCAGATCTGTGCCTTGTCCGCAAGCAGCTCAAGCCTGGGAAAGCGGAAGGGTATGAGAGCGAGCTGCGTTGCCTCCGGCTGCTCGGTCTTACCGATCACCCTAACATCTTGAAGGTTCTCGGCTTTTACACCTACAAAGGGATGCATAACTTCTTGTTTCGGTACGCTAAAGACGGGGACCTGGACCGGTTGCTGTCTGAACCAACACGCCGCGAGCAGTTTGCATCGGACGATACCTTCTATCTCGCCCTATGCGGGTTGGCCTCAGGACTGCAGCATCTACACTACTTCCAAAAAGAGGACCTTGACCTCAACCTAATTGGTTGCCACCGTGATCTGAAACCCAAGAATGTTTTGGTGGATGGCGCCGATTTTATTCTGGCAGACTTTGGACTCACAACCATGAGAGACGCAACCGAGGACTCCAAGAAGACTTTCCAGGACCGCGATGGATACTATTCGTCTCCGGAGTCGGAAGACTTATATTCCTTAGAGCAGTACCGCATTGGGCGGAAGAGCGATATCTGGTCTCTTGGTTGCATAATTAGCGTTCTCTACGCGTACATGAAGGACGGCGGTCCGAAGGGCGTCGAAATGATGAAGGAAAGGAGAAAAGCTGCATATGTAGGGTACCGAGGGATTCCTATGGAGACCAAGGCATTTCACACTGGAATGCTCAAACCGAACAAAGGCTTCGTAGCCTGGCTCGAGGAGAAAGCAAAAGACGGAACACACGGGGAGCAAGAGCTGCTGAACGTGGTCATTGGCATGCTGGACGTTGATCCGGAAAAACGATTTGATATTAACGAGGCCCTTCCGATGCTCCGCTTTGCGACTCTGAAGAGGATCTTTGATTCCCTCAAAGACGCTCTGGCTCATTCAAAGGACAGAGGGACCCTCGAGTTTGAGATTGAAGCACAAACCATCCTGAGCTGGCAGATTGTCGTCGATCAAGCCAGAGAAGAAGTACTTGCACTCCTAAAGAGGGAGGCCACCTTCACCGAAATCGTGGGGATCTTCCAGCACATCAGGCAGGAGTTGAGGAAGCTGAACGCCCCGAACCGAGAGGAGAACTATCCGATCTTCGCGCCATTGCGTCGACTGAACGATCAACTCCTGGCTCCATTGTCGGCGGAAGTGGGAGCGAAGATCCGTGAAGAGGCATACCTGCAGACCCTCAAGGCTGTGGAAGGCCAAGACGCTGTGACTGGTTTGGCAGGACAACTCTCAGAGTTGCCTGATACGAAAACAAAGCGCTCTCTTCTGACCCTGCTCAGCATCAAACACATGACTGATCTTACGGCGTCGAGCACCGACCAATCTCTGACGTTAAAGCGGGAGGACGTTGACCTGTCTGGCTCGGTCCCAGGTGAGACGTTTCAGAGAGGTGTGCTTCGTTCCGCGCAACGCGATGTCATTGTCGAGAGCCTGGAATATAACCAGGAACGGCAGAACCGAGCGGTTGGGGAGACGCTGTTCCAGCGGATGCAGAACATCCTTCGCCTGCCTGATCAAGCCATGGCGACGAGCGCCGGCTTCCGAGCGCTCTCATGCGTCGGATTCTTCCATGATCCAGGACACCGGTCCTTCAGTCTGGTGTATTCATTCCCCCCACGAACCTCGGGCACCTGGGATGGTGTCCGTCCACTCATCGAGCTTCTCGAGAAACCTCTGCTGGACGAGACAGATGGTCCAACGAAAACTGTGGTTAATCTCGACGATCGGATGCGGCTGGCCTGGGATCTCGCCAATGTCGTGTACAAATTCCACCGGGTCGGTTGGCTGCACAAGAACGTGTCATCGTACAATGTGTTGCTGTTCATGAACGGCGACAAGCCCAATACCCCCGGACTCCTTCAGCACTCGGATTTCTTGCCCCTGGACCTCTCGAACCCCTACCTAATCGGGTTCTCGCACAGTCGACCGAACACGGCGAACGCATATTCGACCAAGCTAAGAGATGACTTGACGGGTGCGCTCCGCGCGTACCATCATCCCAAGTACGCCGACATCGACAACCCCTACGAGTCGTACAAGCCGGAGTACGACTATTTTAGCCTGGGCCTCATCTTGTTGGAGATTGGACTCTGGAGACCGTTGAGCCAGGTGATGAAGAAGGAGGAGCTGGACAAGAGCAGGGCCCTTGCATTGATACACTTGCTGAAAAGGCGGATTCCATTTTTGCTGGAGAGCGTACGGCCGACGTACGCACAGGCGGTAGAGATATGCTTGGACGGCAGTTTAGATGATCCCGAAGCGGAAAAAGTGGACGGGAAGTTTCAAGTAGAGGTCTTGAGCCGGTTGCAAGACTGCTTGGCCAGGTGATGTAGTTCTTGTTGGTATTTACAGGTGCTCAGGCGTCATTATCCTGGAGATCATGTGACGGTTATGTTCCTATTGGTCTTAGATACTCCCTACCGATGGACGGATAACACGGGAACTCGATATCCTGCCATGCCTGCCTGGGAGTTGATACCTGCTTACTTCGGCGCCGAAGGCATCATGCGCGTATCGAGCTTGCCCTACATCCAGTAAGAGCCCATGCAAATCAGACTATCTGCTTGTATATTCGGGCGAGAAACAGAACCCCTCGCTATCGAAATGTGGCTGACACTGATAGATCGCACTTATCTCTATCACTTGCTCCCAACATCTCTACACAGGGGGTACGTTCGAAACCTTTCAAGGCTCTCAACGGCACGGCGCATGCATCTAGCAGCATCAAGCGCAGAATGCGAATATGGAACGATACGTTTTTCACCACAGACCACCACCCGATAGAAATTGTGTTGAGATGGCTTCGGGACCGATCTTATCGCGCCCAATCCCCGGTATCATCAGTATCCCGCAACGTGGTTGACATTGCAGTGGATCAGCGGCCAGTCGTTGGCGTCCAGCCGTCTAAACATCTCTTATATACTATCCACCGCTCTTTATGGTTCGATCGTCCATTGACCACCTGTATCCTACGTTGGCAAGTTTTCAGCATCTTGTTGCCTTGTGATTCATCCCGACTTCTATCGTAATGACAATGAAGACCGACGAGAAAGGAGTCTTGTCCGAGACGACTCCTCAGCCCGCTGACAGCGTCGAAGCCAGTCATGTTGTGAATGGCGATCTGGGACTTGAGATCCTGAAGAATCGAGACGAGCAGGAACCCTATGTCCTCGACCCTGCAATGCGAAAGAGAGTGTTACGCAAGATTGATTTTCATATCCTGCCCATCCTGACGTGAGTG